AATACAGTAAAAATGGTCATACTTCCAAAATTGTTATACAGATTTAGTGCAATCAAACTACCAACAGCATACCTCACAAAATTAGAGAAAACAGTACTAAAATTCATTTGGAACCAGAAGAGACCTAGGGTTGAATTTCTTTTTTTTGGCATGGGGATTGAACTCAGGACCTTGCGCTTGCGAGGCAGGCGGAATCACTGAGCTAAATCTCCAGGCCTCTAGAATGGGGGGGGGGAATTCTGGGCAACAGAGGCAAGGCAGGGGGCATCGCAATCCCTGACTTGAAATTATACTATAGAGATACTGTGATAAAAACAGCATGGTACTAGCAAAAAGACAAATAAATAAACAAAACCAAAAAGGAGATGCAGAAACAACTCCAGACATACTCAGCCACCTTCACTCAGCCAAACACCTTTACTGGAAGAAAGACAGCCTCCTTAATAAATGGTGCTGGAAAAACTGGCTTTTCATGTGACAAAGCCTAAAACTATACCCATATCTCTCACTATGCACTAAAGAAAATCGAAATGGATCAAAGATCTAAATATTAAAACAGAAACACTAAGTCTTCTGGAAGAGCGACGAGAACTATTGAAGACACCGGTGTAGGCAAAGGCTTTATGAACAAAACCTCAGTCACACATGAACTAGCACAAAGAATCAGCAACCGGTATCTTACCTTATTAAAAAGCTTTTAGGGGCTGGGGATTTAGCTCAGTGGTGCTACCACCTGCCTTACAAGCATAAGGTCCTGAGTTTGATCCCTGGTACTCAAAATAAAATAAAGCTTTTGAATAGCAAAAGAAATCACCAACAGAGTAAAGAGACAACCAATAGAGTGGGAAAAATATTTTTGCCAGTTGTTTCTCAGACAAAGGACTAACATCTAGAATATATAAAGAACTCAAAAACATCAACCTACCCTCCATTTAAAGACCCAATACAAAATGAACATCTGAGATGAATACACATTTCTCAGATGAAGTACAGATGGCAAATAAATACATGAAAAAATGTTAAATATTATTGTTTGTTTGAGAGATGCAAATTAAAACAACACTGAGATTCCATCTCACTCCAGAAAGAATGGCTGTTATCAAGCAGTCAACCAATAACAAATGCTGGTGGGAGTGTGAGGAGAAAGAAACCCTTCCCCACTGTTAGTGTAGACTGGTGCAACCACTATGGAAGTCACTGTGGAGATTCCTCAAAAAACTAGAACTAGAGGTTCCATTTTACCCAGGTATCATCCCTAAAGAATTAAAAGCATCATATCACAGTGATATATGTATACCCATGCTTACAGCAGCATGGTTAGTAATAGTTAAATCTTGGAAATAGCCCAAATGCCCATCAATTGATGACTAGATAAAAACATGAGGGTTTTTTTACAGTGGAGTACTACTCAGCCATAAAGAAGGATAAACTTGAGACATTTCCTGGTAAATGGATGCTCTTTGAGACCATATTCTTAAATGAAATGTCAGACACACGTGTAAATACTGCATTGTTTCTCTTGTGTGAGAAACTGAAAATGTAAATAAGGACCAAAATGTATAATAGATATTATAAAATAGGAAGAAAATGTTTAACTGTAAATAGGCACTAGGGAGGGGGAAGGGGCAGGAAGGAAGGGAAAAAGAAAAAAATTAGAAAAGAAAGATAAAATGGTAAAGCATTTGTAAATGAGGAGGGGAAGAATGGCTGAAGGGAGGGGAGGGTAGTAGCAAAAAATAGGAATCAAGATATATCATGTACAGGTACAAATTCCTTATAATGAATGAGATCATTATGTACATCTAAATTGTACCAATAAACAATTTTTAAAAGTAAAATAATAAAAAAGTAAACATTCATCATATTTTTATCATACTTCATATGCGTGTATATTAATATAATTTATAAACATAATGCATTAATGTGAATATCTTAGTATCACATATATGCATATATGGTCTTGCCAAACATAGATGTAAAACCAAAGCAGGCGGTGTATGATTTTGGCAAGATCCTAAAACCATTCTTAGCAAATATTTATTGAACAAGAGGACCTAACCCTAATCCTAAATTGACCCTCACATACTTCCTTCATTCCAAGAACATCTTTTTTTCCTCATCATTATCCCACAGGTAACATAGTGGTGAATGCAGTTCAACTGCATTTAGCAAATGTAGGTCAAGAGCAGGGCCGGTTGGTTAATTGGGAATAGTACATCAAAATAAAACTTTTCAAAATCTAATGTTTTCCTTTAGCTTAAAGCACAGAATTGTACCTGCACATCGACTTTATGTCTATTATCTTTCCGTTGCACAGGATCGATTGATCAGAGTTCTTCATCATTTGCTTTCATATATCACATTCTTAATGCACTGACAATGATTTCCAGAGTTTTCTTTAGATTTCAGAGACATTACAACACAATAAACATATGGAGATATACTAAATTTGAATGACTATCCCCCAAACTTTCACAGTAATCTCAGCCACCTCTGATTGGATCAATAATCTGCTTTGCAGGCTACTCCTGTCTACCACATCTGTTCAAAGAATTCAATTTAATATTCATGTACAGAAGAATCTTTCCATGTACTACTTTTTAATACATTTGGTCAACTTTTTTGTTTTGTTTTTGTTTTTTGGTACTGGGGATTGAACTCGGGTCCTTGTGCTTGCAAGGCAGGCCACCGAACTGCTGAGCTAAATCCCCGGCCCTCGGTCAACTTTTAATAAGCTACGTAATTACACTAACAGGTATTTGAGGCTCCTCCTGCCTGGCCTGACAGCTCTGACTGTCCGGCTCCTCCTCACGTATTCTCACAGGCCTTTCCCCTGTCAGAATCTGTGCGTAGCGAGTCTATCCTCGGATCTGCTTCTGGGAAGACTTCCAACAGACGCAGAGCACAATTCAGTTAGAAAAATGCACGACAGCTGAAGCAAAACATCAATTAAGCTTTCAGGAGAAATCCTGAGATGAGAAACGTTAAATACAATTTGTGGCACCCATGTGTATGCTTTCATCCTTCGTAGTGAGAACTGTTCACGAAGAGGAACCTGAAGCCTTCCAGTGCTTTTATTTTTTGAGAGAGTCCTGCTCTGCTTCTCAGCCTGAGCTCAAATTCCTGGACTCAAATGATCCTCCAGCCTTAGCTTCTCAAGTAGCACCTTCCAGTATTCCTAAGCATTAACAAAACTCCAGTCCTCTAGTATGTACTACTTAACTAAGCCAGGAACCTGGAATCATATGTTTATTAGTTTTCCATTAATATAAAATATGATTGATAACTGCATAAGAAAACTGCAAAATGGAAGAAGGAATCTTGCTAACTAAACCACTGTTCTTTCATTGAAGAGTGAATTTACAAGTTTTAGAAGGACCCCAGAGAAGAGGACTGTGAATTGTCAAGTAACCATACTTTGACAGTTGGACTCCATTAACTGGAGCCAAACTCAGCAGCCCATGGGTTCCCTGATGAACACATGGTCTTGGCTAGTGCAGTGTGGGACCAGCCCTGGCATGGAGATCTTCAGTGACTGGCTTCCAGGCCTTCCCTCTAAAGTGGGCCTAGATGGGTGTATGGCAGGGGGTGGCACAGGGGATGGACCAGGTGTCTCTTTGTGCCTGTGTTTCCTAGGCTGACTTGGGTGTGTTACTGTGTCATTTTCCATCGCAGTTCTGAGGTAATAGGTATACATCCTCACAGAGAAAGCTAGGGCAGAGCCACCTGGGGATAGCCACCTCTCTCCATTAGCAAACCTGTGGCCAGCTGTAAAAAAGGCCTTGGCATTTGCAGGTGGAGGGATTTTAGCTAATCACCTGGAGCATCTGATACTTTCTGAGGGTTCTGGAAGGCAGTTGAAGATCCTACCTGCCTTGGCAGACCTCCCAAACCGTCCATACCAGTAGTCTTCCAGGGTTGCAAACTGCCTCCAGGGGTTTGCTTGGAATGTGTGTGTGTGTGTGTGTGTGTGTGTGTGTGTGTGTGTGCGCGCGTGCGCGCGCGCACGCGTACACGCTTGCTTGCGGTGGGAGGAGGTATTATCACAATGGGGGAACACAGAACCTAACTGTTCTGCATTAAACACAACTCTTCATGGCTTTAACCTACTCTAGCTGTACGTAAAGTAAGGAACAATTGTGTTTGGTTAGAACTTTAGTGACTGTTCCACCTATACAGTGCTCACGGTACAGTATTTGAGTCAACCAACACTTATTTTGTGTTTGTGGCTGTCAATCATTAATGCAATGTGGCAAATAAGAATAAGCATATACTGCTTTTTTACCATAGCTGCCTGAGCACGTACATATTCAGATCTATATTAATTTATTATGACTGTTTTTTATATTATTGTTAGGATATTAAAGTGATTAAAATATCATGTGGGCAGGTTGTATATATTCCTTACAGGAAGGGGAGGCTTAGGTCTTCTAGGGTTGAAAAGTGCTGTTCACATTGACTTGCAGCCTCCAGCACCTTAGCAGTGCTGGATAATAGGGAAATTAATTCTATTCTGGGCGACTGCTGCCGTGGCTGCTGGCCTAGCACACTCAGGCCTGCTCCTGCCTCTACCATCTGTGGCTGCAGGATGGCTGCCCAAGCCCAGTGCGTCACCTGTTGGTCCAGCTTCCCTGGCAGAGTACATGGGGGCACTGTTGGTTGAATCCTGGAAACTTGGATGAGGGGTTCAAGCTCATAGGTTTAGTGTAGGAAAGGGGACCCTCTATAGAAAGCTATCCATGAATATCCTACTCCATTCTCATATCCAAGCAGACCATTAACCTTGCCTCAAACAAACAGACCGCGAAGCGGAGCGCCAACACATTCTCCTGGGTTTCATTAAAACCAGGTAATTAGCACGGTCTTCTTCACAAAGACAGAATGTTAATTTGGTAAGATCTTGAGGCCTGAAGTCCCCGGAGAACCTGCAGGAAGCCACAGGCACCTGGAGAGATGGCCAGACCGCATCTATGGGAGCCTCGGGGCGGCTCAGGCTTTACCTGGAACTTATGTTCTGCGACTCTGCTGTGACTGTTTTCTGCCAAGCCCACTGCCACCACTGTCCATCCTTGGAGAAGGCAGGATCATCCCGAAGGACAGCAGGCCGGAAGAGCTGCTGCCTCCTGTAGCTGCGACTCTGGCCCGCAGCGCCAAAGCTCGTTGTGTGTTTCAACTGCTCCCCCTGGCGGGTTATCTCAAAATTGCAGAAGACGCTTCAAAAGGGAAGAGCGAGTACGGTCGGCAGGTGGAGCATAGTTCTTTCGACCCTGATGGCTCAGAACAACTTGTATCAGGAAAATATTATTATCCCCATTTCACATAGGGAAACTGAGACCCTGAAGTTGTATTTCTTTGCTCAAGGTCAGGTAGCTGTTAAGTGGTGTACTTGACTTCCAAGGCCTTCCCCCAACAACATAGTGGAAGCTGTTGTCCATCAAAGGCTATGTTAAGTAATTTCACCTTCAATGTCTTATTTAGTACAGTAAGGCTGTGAAGTAGGCGCTATCCTGGTTTTTAGAAATGAGGAAGCCGAAACTCTCAGAAACCTTGGGTAACTCATCTAAGGTCTCACAGTTGCTCAAAAGCAGAATTTTGACTGGTTCCCAAGGTTGGCCATCTTGGAAGGAGAGTTGAAGGTGGACACCTAGAGACAGAATAATATTATACCTGTAAGCAAGGAGCCCAGCCAGTAATAATCAAGTTTCCTGCCTCACTTGCTATTTCCCAGTGAGCAGGCATACTTTGCTTTACATAGCACATGGAAATGAGAAAAGGTATCTGTAAACAGAATCCCAGTAGCCTGGGGTTTGTGTAGAAAGCTCGTGACTACAAGATCCCATTGCAAATTGCTTTGTTGAGAAGAATAAAATTGTTCTTTAACTTTTTTGAGGAAAACTGATGTTCATACTTTGCATTTGTTGCAATTCAAAAGATAAATTTCATTCATTCATATATGTTCTCCTTATACAAATGAAAAAAATTACAAACCATTTGATCCACTTCCCCAGTAATCCAATCACATTATCCTTGTACACGTTCCAGAGGCAAACAGAAGACAAATAGAGATAAATAGACTATTTTCTATGCACTTCTTTCCTAACTTGAAAACGTGTGGCTGTGTTGTGGGATATCTTTACACGAACAAGGTAGTCTTCAATCTGCTTCCTCTTCCCCTTACCCCACTTAACAATATGTTGTCGAGCTCTTACCATGTCAGAGCATATAATCAGTTTCAGTTTTTAAAAAGTATTTCATGGAATAGAAATATTGTAGTCTACATAGTTGATTCTTTTCTGATGGTCATTTGGTTTGCTTCCAGGCTTGCTTTTTTTTGAGACGGGGTCTCACTATGTAGTTCAGACTGCTCTGGAACTCACTGTGTGACCCAGGCTGGTCTTGAACTCACAGCAATCCTCCTGCCTCAGCCTCCTGAATGCTGGGATTACAGGCATGCGCCACCATGCCCAGGCAGGCTTGCTTTTTGTGCCTGCATTATTATAAACAATGCTGTACTGAACATCTCTGTGAAAGCCTCAGTGCACATGGGCACTAGGACATGGAGTTGCCAGGCAGTAGTGTATGTGTATGCACGTATTAATAGAGTTAAATCTCCCTTTCAAAGTGTATATACTTACTAGCAGTATCTGCCTTTCCCATTACCTTTGCCAACTCTTCTGTCATCTCTAAACTTTGCCATTCTTTTGGGTGAGATCCTTAAAGTTTTTCAATTTGCTTTTTTCTGTTTCTTAGTGTGGATGTCTTTTTAAATGTTTATCAGCCCAATTTTTCCTGAATTGCCTCTTATATTCTTCTTTCTATAAAATTGTCCTTTTCTATGTGTAGAACTTTTCACTGAAATAAATATTCTATTTTGATGTGGTTAAATTTAAATAGTTCATTCTCTTTATGGATTTTAATTGTTATGGGTTGATTAAAAAGGTTTTGTATACAGTGACATCATTTCCCATGGGATTCTTGATAACATTTTAAAATAATTTAAAAGTTTTATATTTATGTTTAATCTAATGGCATTAAGCCTGGGTTAATGGTGTGAAAGAAAGACAAGACCTAGTTTTTTTTGAGACAAGGTCTTGCTATGTAGCTCAGGCTGGCCTCGAACTTGTGGCCAGCCTCCTGCCTCAGCCTCCCAAGTGCTGGGGTTACAGGTGTGTACCACCATGCCTGTCCAAATCTAGCTTTTCTAAATGGAAAGCTGTATTTTAACAGCATTTATTAATGATCTATCCAAAACTTTGTATTACATTTCTCTCTCCATATATATATTAATATTCTAACACTGATTTTTCTATTTATTTTAATTATGTTGACTTTGATGTTTATAATATGCTTTAGTATTAGATAGGGAAAGCTTTGTTTTATTTTTCAAAATTGGAATGGTATATTTTGTAGTTACTCTTGTTTAGGGTTTTAGGGTGGTGAATGTGTCAAGTTCCAAGGAAATCCTACTGAAATGTTAGTATTGTTTCAAACTTGCCTATTAAATTTGAGAAAAAAAGAAAACTTAATAATATTATGTCTACCCAAAAACATAGTATTTATTGCCATTTGTCCAGTTTGTTCTAAAATATTCACTGGGGTATTTTATACTTTCTACAATAAGCTCACCTACTTCTCTTGTTAGATTTGTTGCTGTTGCACAGAATCTTTTAGAAATTATTTTCTAATTGCTTGTGGTTGACCATGCCAAACTGTGGATGCTTGCATTTTTATTTGTCTTCAGTCACTTCATTATGAGCTTTTTTTTATCTCTGTCATTGTTATGATCTCTCTGATTTTTAAAAAATAGACCATTGCATATTCTGCAAGTAATGACAGTTTGTTCTATCTTATCCTATTTGTGTACTTTGGAAATAACATTTTTCTTCATTTTTGCTAGGAGTTAAGGTTTCTTTTCTATTTACTTGGATTTGGTTTGTTTTCTTCAATCTGAGAAATGTTGTCTTTCCACAATTCAGGAAGATTTTCCATCTTTCTCTTGCACTATTTCCCTATCACTCCCTTTCTAATGATTCCATTTAGATTTGCAACTGGTACATTTTTGTCCTTGTCAAATTGTCACATATATGTCCTCTTTTGTGTTCAATTTTGCTTATTTTCTTCAATCATTTTCTACCATTTCTGTTGTAATTTACCTGATGTTTAAGCTGCCAATTTCATTTTTAAGATAATGATTATATTTTTCACTTATAAAAGTGGTTTTTGATCCTCTTCCAAATCTGCGTAATCAAATTCAATAGGTCTGTGTTCCTGTTCATATTTTCAATGATTTGTTTCTTAAATTATATTAAATATGTTTGCATATATATATATATACACATACATATATAATTTTTATATAATTCTTTGCAGTTTTGGGTTAGCAACTATTGTTTTCATCTACTCTTTGTTTCCTGAATGCTTAATGATTTTCTACTAGGGTTTCTTGGAAATTTATCTGTGGGACTTTTTGTCTTTGAGACCTAAGCTTAAAATAAAGCATGTTTATCGAGGGGGATTTATGTTTGCGTTGGCCAGGTGCTTATCAATCTAGGATCATTTTAAGCTAACTTAATCTCCAAGTGTTTTGAGGCCACAGAAGTTGCTGGAGGGAGGTGTGTGATGACTCTGTCTCCAATGGGTCCTCTATAGCTGTTTCCCTCTCTCAGTTTTCCATTAAGCATGCTGCCCTTTGGATGTCCAGGCTCTGGGCTAGGACATAATCCAATTTCTTCCCATGTACTTGTCCCCAGGGCTGCTGTCACAAAGTAACACAAGCTGAGTGGCTGAAACATCCCAGTTCTGGAGGCTGAAGTTCAAAATTAAGGTGTGGGTAGGTTGCTTCCCTACAGTACTGTGAGGAAGAGCCTATCCCAGGCCTCTCACTGAGCTTCTGGAGGTTTCTGGCCATCTTTGGCATTCTTTGGTGGGTAAGAGCATCTCCCTAACTTCTGCCTTCATCTTCACATTGTATTTTCCTTGTGTGCATGTTTGTATCCAAACTGACCCCTTTCATAAGGACACTGGTCTTACTGGATTGATTGTCTGCTCTATGAACTCATCTTAACTAATTATATCTTAATGATTCTGTTTTCAAACGAGATAATATTGTGATGTGGTAGGGGCTAAATTTTTAACACATGAATAGGAGGAGGGGACTCAATAAAACTCATAACAACCCTGTTTTGTCTCATACTTTGTTTCCAGGCCGTAGGTTTAAGGTCTAGTAAAATGGTGCTTCCAGGTGATGACAGACTAGCAGACGTCCAGGATAAATGCTTACTTTCCTTTCTGGCCTCCTATCTTTGCCTGCCTGCCTGTTTGTCTGTCTGTCTCTGTCACCCCAAGGATGCACTATGTAGTCCAGGCTGGTCGCTAACTCAAGATCCTGACTCAGCTTTTTTGAGACAGGATCTTGGTACTTCGGGTTGTCCTTGAAAAGCCTGGCACTCACAAAGATCATCCTGCCTTTGTTTCCCTAGTTCTGGGATCATGGATGTGTGCCACCTGTCTGGTCTAGATTGTTTCTGACCTGCAATAATTCATTTATTTTCTCACAAAGTCAACCATGCAGTACATTGAAGTTCATAAAAAGGAGTGATTTTTCTGAATACTTAGACCAAACATTCTTGGAAATGGAAACTCATTTTGGTATAAGGTAAATATAGAACTTACATGATTTCCACTTGGGAAAAAAATAAGTAAGTTATTGGTTTATTATGACCAACATTTTAAAATGAATCTTCCAAATATTCACCTTGAAATAGCATGACATGAGAGATGAAAATGAAATAAAATATAATCCTGACAAGAATCTGTTTTGAAAAAGAAAGTATTTAGTAATATTATGCATTGTTTAAACTAGTGAGATGTCAATCTAAATCGGAACTCTATAAATTAATTTTGTTTGCTCTCATACATTCAAAACATTTGAGGTAATTCTCCAATGATTTTTTTTTTTTGTACTGAGGATCGAACTTGAGTCCTTGCGCTTGCAAGGCAGGCAGCAGAACCACTGAGTTAAATCCCCAGCCCCCTCTCCAATAATTTTTTATCCTACCAGCAAACTGTAGGGCTATAAAACGAAGACTATCAGATCACAGCAATACACATAGGCAGTTGGATTTAGTCATGCAGTTTGATGTTCATACAATTCTAATGAATGAGCTAATTTTTCAAGCACTTCCAGAAATGACTGCAGTTGTTTCTGCCAAAACATGTTTTCACAACAATTCAGATCTCAAAAGGTAGCATGGTGATTCATTGAACAATGCCTCTTTTTTTTTTTTTTTTTCCTTTTCCTTTTTGGTTTTTCCTTTTTCCTTTTGTGGATTGAACTCAGGACCTTGTGCTTGTCAGGCAGGCAAGGCACCACTGAGCTACATCCCCAGCCCACTATACCATGTTTTTTTAAAATTTTTTAATCGAGTTTACTTGTTCCCACCCACCTCTTTCACAATGGCAGAGCAAAGCCTGAGTTTCTTTCTGCCAGCAACTCCTTCCCCTTCCATCCCCATTTCCTTGCCTTTACCTTCTGCCACAGCACTCAGAAGAGCCTCCTTGAAAGGACTGTCTTCCTCTTATTCCCACTGTGTTTTAAAATAAGATGCGTCCTATAGGATTTTTTTCCTTCCCCAATACTTTCTTCTTTACTCTGACTTTTGCATAGGAAATGTTGTCAATGTTAATTTTTTTCTAGTCATTTTCCCCAGGGTCAATGAGAAGAGCAGTATCAAAAGGAAATGCCTATTTATTATTTCTACTTATAGTCTATACAAGGGCTCACAAAACAAAGTTCATAGAACGTGTTAAAAATACAGATGTTCCAAACCTACTCTAGACTTGCTGCATCTAAAACTCTGGGGATAGAATCCAGCAATCTTCTTTAAAAATCTCTCCAGGTAATTCTGATTTACAATCAAGTCTGAGAAACACAGGACTAATGTCTCCTTTTACTTCTCTTACTTGGCGTGTGTGCTTGTGTGTGCATGTGTGTGTTTTAGTTCTTTCCAGATACTTCTGACAAGCATCGGTATTTTCTTACAAATGGGGGCTTCAGGGAAAGTGTATTGCCAAAGGGCAAGAATGCAGACCTAAGTGTTAGCATTTAATTACCTTCCTTTCAAGGTCGGAGTTTTTAGATGGAAAGAAAAAGCAAGCCTGTGAGCAAGCAGGCTCTCAAACTACTCAGTGCCACAATTTAAGAAAGTTATAGATCTCCAGGTCTCATTTTGCAGAATTCATTTCACAAACTCTGGGGCCTGTTAAGTGGCAAAGAAGATGAGTGACGGTCCTGTCTCCGCTGAAACACCTTATGGGATATTGTCCTTCCCAGAGCAGGCTGAATTTTGGAAGGTCTCCTTACTGAGCATTGGCCTATTGAGAGTTTTATCAGATTAGATTTGAATGTCAATAATTGCAGTGGATGAAGAGATGGAAATTCTTTTTTCTTTCACAATCTAGGTCAGGGGGAAGCAGCCAGGGACAGGTATAATGACTCCATGGTCTCCAGGGACTCTTCCTCCACTTTCTTTCCTCTCTGGCATCCTTAATAGGCCAATTCATGGTATAAAATGTCTGCTTACACTCTCAGTATCACATCCAAATTTCAGTTAGCAGGAAGGAGGAAGAGCTTTCTCCAAGAATATGGTCTGGACAATGTGAAATAGGAAGAAAAGGGCTAAAGGTATAGGGAAAGTG